CGCAGCACTGTCCCCGACCTTTGCCTGAAACTTCAAGGTCAACCCGGTAACCTCCGTTTTTATATTAGAGCACGGGTCAGTCATCGTTTCGCTGTCAAGACGTCACACCTCGCATGTTCATTATCACGTTAAATCCTTAATAAATGCCTTAAATATGCATATATTCATCACTGGGCTCCTTTAATGGTTCAGATCTGTTAATGAGTCACATTCTGGATGCAAAGCTGTTTTAATAAATCTCTTATATGATCTAATTAGATTTACTGACAAAAAATTAATAATTAATCAATTAATAATTTAAATCATGTATTAAATAAAAGTGAAACATTCTCTGTTTTTAGCTTCTTAAATGTGAGGATTTGTTGCTTTTCTCTTCAAGTCAAATTAAGCAAACATGACAAACATTCACTAGTTTTAGCTTCTCAAATGTGACTTTTTGCTGTTTTAAATCATTGCAAATGTAATATTTTGGGGGTTTGAACTGAAACAGGCAATTTGAAGACTTCACCTTCGGCTCTGAGAACTCGTGATGGTCTTTTTCAGAGCTGCAACAATTAGTTGATTGACAGAAAATGAATCAGCAACAATTTTATTAATAGATTAAATGTTTTAAGTTACTTATCAAGCCCCCCAAAAGGGAAACACTGGGTCAGGATTACCAAATATGAGGATCTGTCTTGTGTCATTTTAAACTGGCTTTGGAGTGTTGTTGATTTTAACGGTTTTATGGTGTTTTATAGGTCGAACAGTTAATCGATTAATCAGGGTAACAGTTGTCAGATTAACTGAAAATTAGTAATTTTTCACCACTTATGACAAAAATATTCCACAGTTTAATATATAATGAAAATAATTGTTAGTGGAAGTCCTAATGTTACCTACGAGTAGGTAAGAGCTTGTATATTGTTAAGATTCATTCATTAAATTAAATGTAAATGAAATATAATCATTGCATTATACATGTTTTGTATCACTATAAACTGAATATCTTTGTGTTTTGGTCTGTTTAATTGCACAAAACAGCAAAACTGAATAGAAACATGGCATTAGCCACTTTTATAAACAGTTAATCTATTGAACAGAAAAGTAATCAACACATAATTATTATTTCCAGCCATAATCCATTTTAGTTTTCTCCAAAATCTTCTGGTTTTAGCTAAGGTCTACTCCCATCATCGTTGCCAGTATAAATGGGTCTTATTAAGATGTTAACATCATTACATATAAAGGGACTTTATAGTTGCTTTACATTCTCTTCACCCTTTAAGGTTTTTCAGCAATGGGGAGGCCAGTGATGGAAAGACACCCTCTTGTGGACATTTAATGTAACTGAAACTTGTCAGACGCCCAAAGCATTGATGCGTGCCAGCAAATTTGTCAGTGACACAGAGGAAGTTTGAGAGACATTTGGATTCAAAATAAAGAGGCAAGAGTATTAAAGCTGACTGCACGCAATCAGCAAAGATAGTGGGAGTGTCGGTGAAATCACAGATCAAACCCGCTGTAGAAGAGAATGCGAGTCAGCTGGAAACCTAACTGTATATCAGATTACTGCTGGAGATCTTTAATGGATTAGATTCACACACAGTCAGTATGATTTTATCTCATCTTATTACCTGCAGTCGCCAACAGAGAGCAGCAGAATGCAGACGACACACAGGGAGCGGCCTGCAGCTTGTTTGTGCTTCTGGCAGGACAGTTAATAAATGTTGGCTTTGTGTGAGTATAGCCACAGTGGGCTGTCTTTAGGTGAGTAAGAATTGTTTGGAAAGAACATCAGATGTGAGGCTTTATTTGGTTATTTTGTGTATTACTATCAAATAAAAGTAGCTCTGACTGTAGTTGGTTGTTCTGTCATTAATTAAGAGTTCTTTAGACATAAAAACAAGGAACTTTGCCTACCAGAAGTACATCAGAGTACTTACATTTTCTGCTACTTTATACTTTTACTCCACTTCATTTCAGAGGGAATTATTGTACTTTTTACTCCACATTTATTTGATTAAGAGAGTTACTTGTGACTTTGCAGATTCAGTATAAGTATAATCAGCAATATGTATTAATATCGGTTAAGATTTTATTGGTCCTTGGCGGGAAATACATCTAACCACGGAGAAAATAAAATGGTGATGTACATATTAGTGCATCAATAATTATATTTCAATAATATAATATACATTTAATGTCTGAAATGGGCCATTCTGCATAATGAGTTTACCTTAAAGTATATTCTCTTGCTAATACTTTTGAACCCTTACTTAAGTAAATGTTTACAATACTTTTGATATTGATATTTAATATATTTGGGACATATTTCCCTCAAGTTGTTCAACTTAACCTTTAAAAGCCACAAGATTTAAAAACACTCTAGTACTAATTTGTTGCAGTGAGTCTAAGGTACTCAGGCATGCAGTGGTGGAATGTAACTAAGTACGTTTACTCAAGTACAGTTATGAAGCACTTACTTTATGCTACTTTATATTTCTAATTAGGAGGGAAATGTTGTACCTTTTACTCAAATACATTTATTTTATAACCATATTTAACATCTACAGATTCTGCCACTCTGCTGCATAATGAATACTTTTACTTTTGGTAGTTTATTACGTTGGAAATACATTTTCTGAAGTGAGATTTTTAATGCAGGACTTTCACTTATAATGGAGCACATTGACACTTTATCTGATTAGGTCTTCCACCCTTGTTTGTACATATTACACATCGTTTTGTTGTGAAAAATCTCTTCAGTAATTCCTTATTTTACTCAAAGCCAGCCTGTTTTTGTAGTCAGATCACTACTTTCTCTTGTTTGTCTTCCTATCTCAGGCTCTGTGTGTCTCTGACTCCGTGACGTGAGTCCTGGAGTAGGACATCACCTGCTCACCTGGTTGAGGGGCTCATGCTAATCTAAAGCCGATTAGGCTTCTTATCTACTCAGCGCTGGTTATGTGCTTTGGTTCAACAAAAATACCGTGCAGAGTTGGCCTCTTTACTGTTCCTGCTGACTCTTTACAGCCCCCGCCCCACCAAGCCACACTGGCTTTTATATCATACCTACTCATTCCTCATGTCGGGGGTTCGCAGAATACAAGGATTTTAGTTCAGGATTACATGTTTTATAGAAGACTGTGTTTTAAGATAATAGTTACACAGTATCTTACTAGTTGCTATTTATCTATTTGGGCTGAAGGGATCAAAGGACGTGTTATTAACATCTAAGTCAAAGGTCATCCTAGAGCTGATTTAAGCCACAAAAAAATCAAACAAAAATCAATAGACCCTTTTTACAGCAGCCATTTGACATGAAGTAGTAGGGCAAACACAGGTATTAATGATGATACTAATTAAGGCTCCATTCATGTCAGACATAGTCGGGGTTCTGCTATTGTGCATGCTGGTTCACTGGAAAGGTTCTGCTACACAGAACAGAATCAGAACTTTAACTAGCATAATTTGCAACTCCTGTGTTGGCTGCTGTGAAAAAGGTCTATTTTAAAGTTACTTGCAAATACGTGTGTGAGTACATCCTGTGTATAACCCCCCTTCACCCTGCCCACACACACACACGCACACACGCACACACACACACACACACACACACACACACACACACTCATGTCCTTGCATTGGACATGTGAAGAGTCATCCCATGTCCATGTGAAAGCAGTAATGCCATAATTGCCCTTATCCTATTGACTTAATCAGGAACCCTGCGGCACTCACAGCATGCCTCGCCTCCTGATCTCAGGTCTGTGTGACTCAAGGTCGGGACAACACAACATCCTGATTTCACTGTCAAATTACATCTCTAAAATATTTTATTCGTATACACGAATCAGCATAATCTCCTCTTCTACACAGACACACAAAGCCAAAAAAAAAAATCATATGGAAAACTTTACATGGATTTAAATAAAAGATTTAGCTTAATTATAGTATTTGTTAAAAAAGTTAATATTTTTTCATAATTTCTACACTATGTACAAAGACAGCAACCCAGTTGTTAGAATATACATACATATGTGTCAATATACAGATACTGAATGCACACGGGAAACATCAAAGAGGATCTGAGATTACAGTACAGGGGTCAGGAGCCAAGATTTAGCTGCCAATTTCAGTCGTCCTCCACAGGTTTGGAGTTGGCCCTGCTTCTCTCCAGGGCTCACATCCCAGTTCCCATGCCTCACTCTTCGACCATGTGCTGCAACATGCATGCATAATTCATACTGATTCATTCAAATCAAAAATTTTCTCCATCTCAGGAGCTTATCCAGTCTTCATTGTGGACAAAGGTGGACTGGAGTATAAAAAGATCTGAGTGTGGGGGGGGGGTTATTTGTTTGATTTGTCTGTATACAGTATGAGCTACGAGCCAAAAGCACTATAGACATGTCAACAAAAATAAATCTTCCATCTGCATCTCCATGAGAGGGGTGGTTGCATAGCAACCACCATCCCCACCAAACTATCTGACAACAATACAAAGGAAAGATTACATATTTACTTGTGATTGCAAAGCATCTGACATTCATCAATCACATATCATATTTACTTGACTTTTTTATTTTGCCCTTTTTTTGGGGAAATAACAAAAATCCAAACCCAGAGTGTTGGAAACCAAAACAGTACATCTCTTTAAAAGTATGCTGTGAAGCAAACTTGGAGCCTGAGAAGGATTAGTTTGTTCGGGGAGGCGGGGAAACCAAAATGAAAAACCATAACGTCCTACTCATTATCTCTCTCTATGTATGAATATACAGTTTATAAATATTTATGAAAGGAGTCCATTTGTAAGGAGTCCATTTGTAAGGAGTTCATAGCCAAATATGTGTGTGTTTGTGTGTGTGTGTGTGTGTGTGTGTGTGTGTGTGTGTGTGTGTGTGTGTGTGTGTGTGTGTGTAGGTCTACATTATAAATGTTGGTATAAAAATCTCACACGTCCCCTTCCTCTCCTCTTCAGGTGGGAGTTGTGTCAGTTTTTTGCAGGAGGGGTTAGCTCAGCTCACCGTGGCAGCCGCTGCCTCACCCCCCTCCTCCACCTTGCTGCCTTTGCCCATCGCCTTCATTTTGTCCATGATGTCGGTGAACGTCTCCTTCACTGTCTTCTCCAGGATCCAGCCCTCGCTCTCGCTCTCTGGGTCCTCCGGGTTAGCCAGGGTGGACAGGGAGCTGTCCACGTACTGCAGGCCTATGGTCACAGCACTCTGCAGTGGACAGGAACACATATCAAAATATATTAAACCTGAACCGCCCCAGAAATCACAGTGTCGTCTTCTGATGAGCAGGAATCATCACTGAAAATGTGTTTTAAAGTCTTGTTTGTAACCATACCACATAATAATAGTAGAAGAAAACTCTAGGGGTCACCAAGATATCAACTGCTTAATGAATTACAACAAATACACATAAAAATAACTTCATACACAAACCCACTAAACTTGTGTTTAAAGTAATCGAATGTTTGACTCAAAGAACATCATCATCATGATTATCATCAATAAAACTAAATCTGAACATAAGGAATTGGCAACTATTTTGATAATCTGTTAATCATTTAAGTCACTTTTCATGTTTTGTTCTGATTCCAGCTTCTCACTTGTATACATTTTCTGCTATTAATGATCTTACATTATAGTAAATTTTGGATTTTAGACTGTTGGTCAGACAAAACAAGACATTGGATACACTTGTGATGGGCATTTTTCACTACTGTCACAAAAGAAAAGAGAGAAAGAAAGAGAAAATAATCAGCCAATTAATTGGTTATAAAAAAACGTGTCCAATGTGATGTAAAGCAAAGAGATGATATAAATTTGGGAACACAAAAACATAGAGACATTAACAAGAGGACAAACAAAAGATTATGGGTAACTATGTAAGAATTAATAGTATTTATGTCTGTAATGGAAGTGTGATGTATGTGTGTAAGTGTTGAAAAGGAAATGTGTAGGTATGTGCGAAGTGGAAGAAAAAGAAGACAAATAAGAATCTCTCTTGGTGAATTCTTGGTGTAATCTACAGCCTAAAGGTCTACTCTATCATTAGAAACGTTAAGAAGTAATTTAAGACTGTAAATGGTGACTACAGATCAAATTGAGAGCTCAATCCCCAGGAAGTGGGTCTAACCTTGCCACCTCCACTAGATTAACCCATTACTCTATCTCTGTCCCCACTATCTGTGTCAGCATGACACTCTTACATAACTATCGGCTATGACTTCCAAGGATTCGTCTCTACATTTGCTCTCTTCGTGTTTGTTGCTGTTCTCTGTAGTGGTGGGCAGATTCAACAACAACAACAACAACAACAACAACAACAACAACAACAGATGTTGGCAGGTGGGATGAGAGTTGAAGAGAGGCGAGATGCCATTTGGCTGCTACAGGATTACAGTTTGGGTAGAAAGTACCAGGTGAGATATTGTAGGTAAGCTGAACATATGTACACACCAAAAGGTGCTGCAGGCTAACGTGACGGTAGAGCAGCAGGAGTGATATTTAGGTAAAGAGGACAGAGTTGTTTTGGAAAGAGATGTGGTTTGGAAGTATAGATGATAGCGGGGGCGGAGTGCCACGAAATGCCAACTGGGTCAAGGCTTTGCGTGTAATTACACAGGCTGTTCACCTCACTTGTTGCTCCGAGTCCACACACACCTGACTCTCAGCCAAACTTTACGTCTCGTCTTTGCTTAATTTTGACACTAGAAGGCTGTTTTTACATTCATTTACATCTACCGGGGGAGTTTCTCTGTGCTCACCTTATATCTCAGTAGTATATATAGTATATCACAAATAGTTTGAAAGCCAGTCATGGTCAGTTGACTTTTCAGTGAAATATCATCAAAAATGTTTCGAGCAGTTAAACTATTAACTTTTAATTATATATGAATCATTTAAAGAGTTTTTAACAAGGTAATTTACCTATTTTATGCAAAAAACATACGTGAAAAAATATTCATAGCTGAGTATTTCTGTGTGTTTTATATGTCTTAAAACATATCCTTTAAATGTCACCTTTCATACTGTCTTATTCATTGTGTGGTCCTGGATGGTTGCATAGAAAAGCTCCGGGAATTTCTGTGCACGGCTTTTCTTTATCAAAGGTTTGTAAATTAAGCAGACGTGCATTTACCAAACCAACCAGTTCATTCTCATATTTTCTCTTCCAAACCCAAACAATACTGTTTGAAAACACTTCAGATGAAGTGTAAATCTCACCTTTGTGTCACTTGTCAAAGCTTGTTTTCCTGTGTGGAATAGGCTCATTGTTGCCCCTTGTGGCCGTTGGTGGAAAGAACACACACTACAACTGCTGCTCTCACCAGCTGTAAAGTGTGGACATTTTCCAGCCCATAAGCCCTTTAGGGAATGAGGGGAAGAAGACACTAGAAAACTTACCTGGACAAGCAACATAAATGTGAGATTTATGCTTTATTAGAAGTGTTTTAGTTTTACAAGAGAAAAGACTTTAAGGATAACTGGTTAGTTTGGCCAATGTAGGTTTGTTAAGGGATCCATGGATCCATGAATGGACAGCAAGGCTATCAAGGCTGTTAGGTACTGACACTTACCAAGGTGCTGCAAATATTATTTTTTAACTAAACTGTTTGTAGTGTGGTGTAAAATGATCACATTTCTGGGCATTATTTGTGTACTGGTGTTGATGCATCTCTGGCCCTGACCTCCAGCAGAGTGACCAGCACCACCATGGCTCCGATGGTGTTCATCAGGCCTCCGTAGTAGGACAGCAGGGCTTCACGGCAGCCGCGCCTCCACACGTTGAGCTCCTCTGTGTAATGGTCGTAGCTGTAGTGGGCAGTGTTGTTGGTCATCTGGAACTGGATGCAGGGTCTGGGGGAGCTGGGGTTGCAGCAGCTGAACGGGACTCCATCCATCAGATACTGGCCATCCACGTTGCTGCCGATGCGGCTAAGAGGATAAGGCAAGGTGTCAAGTTAGTGTCACGTTATGATGCGTTGGAGAGATTAAAGGTCAGGAACTTACTACATTTGTAGTGTGGGTGTCAGATTGTCGTCTACCAAAATAACTATAAGGTGTGATGTATTGTTAAAGAATATTTTAGTATCTTTTCAGTTACTGAATACAATCGAATTTAATTAACTTCTGCTAATAAACATAGGAAGAAGGTTTTTGAGAACATAGTTACTGGTGTATATTACCCACTGTTCAACGGCACAACAATAAAAAGTATTGAATCAACATATATTGAACATTTTAGACAGCTATTTGTTTCTATTTCTTTCATTGTGGTAATTCCTGTTCTGATTTTTGTTGTGTTTACCACCTGTAGAGCTTGAACAACACTGTAACTGGTGTACAGTCAGTCAGTAACTACTTACACATTCACAACATCATACAATACAAGTACAATAAATGTGAAATCTAATTTTCAAAAATATCCATTTTCTAAACCTTAAAATGTAAATCAATATTGAAATCGATAAATCAATACTTTCAGGTTAAAAAACATAACAAATATGCACCAAATGAGCATATTTGTGTCAGTGTTCAACTGTGATTGATAGTAGTAGGTCAATGGAAAGACACGCATAATTGGATCACAAAGAAGGTCAGAAATGCATAAGTGATTTCTAGGAACATCAACACCTAGCCCACTAGATTGCTACAATATATATAATACAGCACCTGCGGGTATTAATACACAGTATAGGGAAAGATACATGGGGTAGGAAGAAAGTGTGGAGGGAATGTGAGTCTTTGAAACTTTAACATTTGATGGTTCCTCTTCCATGATTACTTTCCTAGCCCTGTAACGGCATCACAACAGTTCTCACCAATCACCTCCCCATGTTACTGTCTGTTATTATTGTGTGTATACTCATTTTTAAATCCCAGCTACAAATTTATTGAACAGTGCTGTCCTTGGAGCCTTGCCAGGTCCTGGATGAGACACTGATTCTTGAAGGACATGGACACTGTAATCCTTAAGATTAAACACTAATTATGCACCAACGCTCAAATCTGTCCACTTCCCAATTGTTCTCACAAAACTACAACTACTACTTGTTGCCTACAGTCACTGTAGATACAAACAAGTTGTCACAAAGATGCTACGTATCACTAGGAGAGGTGTAATTTTAATCTCTCTCGTGCCTTTTTGACCTCATGTATCTTTTTCTGTACCTAATCACCAAAGCCCCTCCTCCCAACTTTATCCATAAAACTGCCTAGTAACCTCTTCCCACCCTTGCAGCCCCCAGTGCAGCATCCCCATTGCCACCTATAGCTGTCACCATTTCTGTTACGTAATCCTTAATGGACAAAAGTGAATACACCTGCACTGACCCACCTTCAAATCCACTTATTAGACTGAACTCTAACTTTGTAAAGACGACCCCTAAAGCCACCTTCGTACTCTCACATTCAATGACAATCTCGTTGAGCCACCATTAATTCACATCCCACATTAATGATCTCTAACTTTTAAAGGTTATCATGAGCGATTTAAATCCTTGTCACTTACTCTTTGACTTCCTTTGCGCTGAAGTCCAGGTAGCGGTTGCTAACCCACTGAATCTCAAACCAATCTCTGTAGTTGTCATTTCCGCAGCAGCGAAACTCCATCTGCATCAGGTCCAGGGTCCTCTTCATGTAGCAGCGTCCGGGTGTGTCCGTGTCCTTGTAGAACTTCATGCCGTTCCTCAGCCCCTCGGCCAGGGTGAACTGCAGAGGGATCCTCATCAAGAAACACAGCAGGCCCGTCACAAACAGCAAGACGTTGAATCCTATGCAGACCATCAAGAAGGTCTTCAATATGGGCTTCCATTTGACAAACTTGGAAGGGTCCAGTGAGTCGTAGCAGATTTTGCCTCCCAAGGCGTTGATGCCGCAGGCTATTAGACCCATAAGTATAAGCAGGTTGGGCAAGAAGTGGCTCTCGTTGTTGTCCATAAGTTCTGAGCGCTTTCGCAGCTCGATCTTAAAGAACAGGCCCATGCTGAAGACCAGCACGCCGGCCATTACTGCGAACCAGTACATGAACCAGACAGTCTGAGCGAGCTTTACTCGCTTCTTCAGATCAAACTTGACCAACATCAAAGCCATGGTTCAACCTGTGTTGTGTCCTAGCCTGTGAAAAAGACAAATTATGAGCTAGAACAGCAGGAGCTCCAAGATCTCCAGAAAGCCCCTTAGTTCAGATTTCTTGAATGCGCCAACCTGCAGTTCCTTGTTTCCCAGTCTCTTTGCTACCAGGGTCTCCTTTGGCTGGTCCAACAGGACAGGAGAGTCAGCTCAGCCTGTAATCCATCCCACAGCAAAAGAGCAGAGATGAAGAACCCAGGAGGACCCGGGAGCAGCACAGGAGTGTTATTCCTCCAAAGCTATCTCCTCTCCCATGGTGACAGAAACTTAAAAATGTCTTAAAAACGTATTTTCCCCAAACTTTTTACCGGTTTTTCCTCCTTAACACACAGGTGAGGCTAATCGTGGTGTTCCGTTCTCCTGGAGAGGTGGAGGATGGCGAGGATCCTCATGATTAAACTCAAAGTTGCCATACGTCATGCTAAGCCCCTGTAAGCAGCCTGATCCAATTTACAGAAATCCCTCTACACAAGATGAGCCTGATTGTAAGCCGCTGCCAGGGGCCATAATTGGTTTTAGCGTTCACGTGGTCATGGTCGCCTTGATCGAACACACCAGGAGCTGTAATGGCATCACCAGAGGGCTGACAAAGACCATGGACATGAAAGTGGAGCTAATAATGGCGCATACCCATTCACAGGTAGGGGTCCACAAGTTCAACAAAGTCCTCACAGTGGAGCAAATAGGCTGTGCTACTCAATCCCCAGTAACCCACTCACAGAAACAAAAGAGCTTTCAGGCTCACATATCAAACGCTCCACTATGATTGAAGAAAAGCTCAGAGCTGAGACAAATTGGATGCTTAAACATGTTGTCACACATCAATAAATATAAGCATTAGATGCAGAAAACGTCATCTTGCAAGCTAATAAATGCATTTATGTGCTCTACATGATCTCATTGTCTTATTGTCACTTGCTATCTTGGCAGTTAGAATCAACACTGTGTCTGGCACAAACATGTGCCAGATACTAAGGCTGACCAAAGCCAGGCCTTTCCCTAAACAGCTTCTATTCTGAATCCTTCAAACCCTCACATTGACTGAGAGCTTCAGTGTTGCTTACAGAAACATCACAGTTGAATGGTTGTTGCTCCCGCCAAACGCTGCCTCAGAGTACTGAATGCAAAGCCTTCTCTATGCTTCTTTCATTACATCTTTCATCCAGTTTTTTATAAATGAATTCATGTCTCTTTAAAATTATCCTCAATTACTTTGGGTGGTGAAGACAAGTCTCTTCATTGTTCACCAAAAAGTTAATTTCTATGGATATTCCTACATTATTTTCTTCCTTTTCCTTATTTAACACTACATAAATCTCACTTACAGTCCCACCACTTCTGTCTATAACCACACTGGATCACTCATACTGGGTCTAATCTTTTCTCAATGCCAAGTTACTACTCTTGCTTTGTCTCGTTTCAGTCTTCTGTTACCTTTTAAACTCCAAAAGTGTACATTTTTAATTAAATGACTTGACAAAACCCTCAAATATTTTGATGTCTTCAAGTTAAAGGTAGCATATTAACATTTAATCAATGGGTTATAACACATTTTATATTGTTACAACTGTGTTTTACTATAATGTCATTCATTGTCTGATTATACAGCAGCCGTTGCTAATAAATGAATTAACACTTATTAATGCTACATTATGGGGTGTAATAGCCCATTTATTATACGTGCGTATACTGCTTATAAACGCTAAATATGGTGGAGTGTTAAAGGAAAGTGTTACCAAGCGGACAACCTTGAGCAGCTTGTTAAAAAAAAAATTAAATAGCCTTTACATTGATTTCTCTCGTAGGTTAAATATATTGTAGACACAAAAATCTGATAAATTAAATAAAATTAAAGTTATAAGAAATGGTATTGCTTACTTTTTGTTGTGTCATTCATATCTGCATCAGGTGCATTCTGGATCAATATAAATATTGATTTGTGTTGTGAGTGTGCAGGGTATATTTGTATGCATGACAGAAAAATAAAGATAAATCAATATATAAACACCAGAAACAAAAACTCCATGTTGTTGAGCAGGAAGATTCTTTATTTGCGTCTCATTTTAATAGCAGTAACTTTTAAATATCCTCTTTACAAAGTACAGACTTGGTTTAGTTTCATTCTGTAAGATCAGAGTATCATAGTAGTATTTTAAAGGCCATTCAGGGTTGCCAGCAGCATGAAGGCACACAATGTTATCACCGTGCTCTTTGTTCTTTATTCAACTCCACTGTAATGAAGACTGATTTTGTACTATTGTAGGGTGCTATAAATGGCTGCTTTACCCTTGTTTGAGTGATTATTGATCCTTTTAACGATACTGTAGACGATATATGGGCAACAGGAAGCAGAAAACTTAGTGAAAAGTAATTTAAATCTCCAGCACTAGCAATGACTCACATCTCACTAGTTCCTGACTGTTAGTAATAGATCATTCAGGTGCACCACTTCTCGAAGCATGCTCACAATGGTTTATGCCAATTAAATGACAACTCCTATACTTATGAGTACACAGTCGGATAATACAGTAAGATTTGAGATTGAATGGTTCCCCCCTACAGGGCAGCCATTCAGGTTTTCTCAGGTCTTTTTATATGTAATTTCTGCCTCTGACCATAATATAGGGAGATTTGTATGAATCAGCCCGAAGTTAACTTTTGTAAAAAGCTGGAGTACCCAGAAATTAGAGCCCAGAACTGTTGAGACTGAAGATTAATTAACTCATACATTATTTGTCTCAGTCCAACCAACCCTCGTTTCACCTTCACAAATGTAAGACATGTTCTGCTTCCCTTTGTCTCGTGACAGTAAAGTAAATATCTTTAGGTTTCGGACTGTTGGTCGGCTCAAACAAGCAACCTGAAGACTTATTTTACTATTTTCTGACATTTTGTAGAGCGATTAATTTAGAAAATGATCTGTAATAACAATCAATGAAAATGATTGTTAGTTGCAGCCATAGTGAACTACACTGATAAAATTGTAAGTGCAGTCTTTTGCATTTCTGTAGTGCAATTTCTAACTTATTGGTTGAAATGTATCAATATATCTGCAATAAACCAATATTAGTTGGGCGCCACCAGAAATCCTGCAAAGTCACAGCAGTAAATTGCAAACATACCTACTAATAATGCAGATTTTAATATTTTGAACAGAAAAAAAACAGGCATTAAATCAAATATTGGAGTGTCCAGTTGTCTGTGTGAAGAATACAGGTGGATTTTTATTTAAAAGTCTTAGTGCAGCTCTAACCTCGTTATACAGACGGACCTTTTCCTTGCTCTGTACAGACGTAGCATTGCAACTAGGGATGGGACGGGATATATGATATTATTGTGTACTGCAATAATAGAGAATATTGTGGTGAATTTATGTTATTAATTGTGAATACCCTCACATGGCTTGACTTGAAAAAGCCGTCTAGCTCACCAGCATACAGTCCTACATTAAGTTCCTGATTTATTTTGAACAAGGGGACAATGTGGAGCCCACGTCTGCCCAGTTATTCTAAAACCTGAAGCCTGTCACCACGGCTTACACGTTTTACGGATGTGTGTATGCGAATATAGATTTCAAAATAAAGAATAGGAAGATGAGGTTTCTATCTACGATGCAGGAAATGTATGCTTCCAGTATGTTTTAGAGGTTTAAGTATATTTTGTATCATTATTTTAGTCAAGAAAATCAAAAGTGACATGAAATGTTCATATTGTACAACGCCTAAGTGCAACACATTCAGTGAAAGACATCTACTAACAACACGTCATTTCACGGTTGGGTCTGACAGGTGTTTAAGAGAGTAATTCCCAAGTGGTTTTCCTATCCTCTTCCGGTATGACAGTCCAGTTAGGGGAAGGCTTTCCTGCTGCGAGCCAGTTGAAGTCATCCACCTGGCTCCAGTTGTTTCGGTTCTTGTCCAGGCCAGACAAAATGAAGTCCTCCTCCAGGGTGGGGTACGACCAGGTGAACGGGGCGAAGCTCACTCCCTGACAGTCCTCTATGATGGCCCGGCTGGTGACGTGCAGATACACCTGTGTGTCTGTGGTGTTGTGGGTCCGCAGCTGCTGACAAGGGATGGCCAAGGTACTGTTTCTACAGTGGTCAATGAATACTGAACTAGTCACGGGCCCGCACAGGATCTCACAGGTGTCTATGTGTTTCAGGTGCAGGGTGCTGGGGGACCCGAGCAGACGGACCTTGCAGTTAGTCAGGTGGCTCAACAGCACGTCTCGTTTCTGGATCTCCTCAGCTGTCTTTATCAGATGCACATTGTCCATGTTGGAGAAGCTGCACTGCTCCGAGGCTGCAGCTCCATCGACCGTGGTGCTACCGGGCTCTGCAGGGGGCCGGTGTCCGGTGGAGGTGTGTCTGACGCGGGCGCGGAGGCTTTATCCGTTGAGGCTGACCAAAGCCAGGCCTTTCCCTAAACAGCTTCTATTCTGAATCCTTCAAACCCTCACATTGACTGAGAGCTTCAGTGTTGCTTACAGAAACATCACAGTTGAATGGTTGTTGCTCCCGCCAAACGCTGCCTCGGAGTACTGAATGCAAAGCCTTCTCTATGCTTCTTTCATTACATCTTTCATCCAGTTTTTTATAAATGAATTCATGTCTCTTTAAAATTATCCTCAATTACTTTGGGTGGTGAAGACAAGTCTCTTCATTGTTCACCAAAAAGTTAATTTCTATGGATATTCCTACATTATTTTCTTCCTTTTCCCTATTTAACACTACATAAATCTCACTTACAGTCCCACCACTTCTGTCTATAACCACACTGGATCACTCTTACTGCGTCTAATCTTTTCTCAGTGCCAAGTTACTACTCTTGCTTTGTCTCGTTTCAGTCTTCTGTTACCTTTCAAACTCCAAAAGTGTACATTTTTAATTAAATGACTTGACAAAACCCTCAAATATTTTGATGTCTTCAAGTTAAAGGTAGCATATTAACATCTAATCAATGGGTTATAACACATTTTATATTGTTACAGCTGTGTTTTACTATAATGTCATTCATTGTCTGATTATACAGCAGCCGTTGCTAATAAATGAATTAACACTTATTAATGCTACATTATGGGGTGTAATAGCCCATTTATTATACGTGCGTATACTGCTTATAAACGCTAAATATGGTGGAGTGTTAAAGGAAAGTGTTACCAAGCGGACAACCTTAAGCAGCTTGTTAAAAAAAAATTAAATAGCCTTTACATTGATTTCTCTCGTAGGTTAAATATATTGTAGACACAAAAATCTGATAAATTAAATAAAATTAAAGTTATAAGAAATGGTATTGCTTACTTTTTGTTGTGTCATTCATATCTGCATCAGGTGCATTCTGGATCAATATAAATATTGATTTGTGTTGTGAGTGTGCAGGGTATATTTGTATTCATGACAGAAAAATAAAGATAAATCAATATATAAACACCAGAAACAAAAACTCCATGTTGTTGAGCAGGAAGATTCTTTATTTGCGTCTCATTTTAATAGCAGTAACTTTTAAATATCCTCTTTACAAAGTACAGACTTGGTTTAGTTTCATTCTGTAAGATCAGAGTATCATAGTAGTATTTTAAAGGCCATTCAGGGTTGCCAGCAGCATGAAGGCACACAATGTTAACACCGTGCTCTTTGTTCTTTATTCAACTCCACTGTAATGAAGACTGATTTTGTACTATTGTAGGGTGCTATAAATGGCTGCTTTACCCTTGTTTGAGTGATTATTGATCCTTTTAACGATACTGTAGACGATATATCGGTAACAGGGAGCAGAAAACTTAGTGAAAAGTAATTTAAATCTCCAGCACTAGCAATGACTCACATCTCACTAGTTCCTGACTGTTATTAAAAGATCATTCAGGTGCACCACTTCTCGAAGCATGCTCACAATGGTTTATGCCAATTACATGACAACTCCTATACTTATGAGTACACAGTCGGATAATACAGTAAGATTTGAGATTGAATGGTTCCCCCCTACAGGGCAGCCATTCAGGTTTTCTCAGGTCTTTTTATATGTAATTTCTGCCTCTGACCATAATATAGGGAGATTTGTATGAATCAGCCCGAAGTTAACTTTTGTAAAAAGCTGGAGTACCCAGAAATTAGAGCCCAGAACTGTTGAGACTGAAGATTAATTAACTCATACATTATTTGTCTCAGTCCAACCAACCCTCGTTTCACCTTCACAAATGTAAGAAATGTTCTGCTTCCCTTTGTCTCGTGACAGTAAAGTAAATATCTTTAGGTTTCGGACTGTTGGTCGGCTCAAACAAGCAACCTGAAGACTTATTTTACTATTTTCTGACATTTTGTAGAGCGATTAATTTAGAAAATGATCTGTAATAACAATCAATGAAAATGATTGTTAGTTGCAGCCATAGTGAACTACACTGATAAAATTGTAAGTGCAGTCTTTTGCATTTCTGTAGTGCAATTTCTAACTTATTGGTTGAAATGTATCAATATATCTGCAATAAACCAATATTAGTTGGGCGCCACCAGAAATCCTGCAAAGTCACAGCAGTAAATTGCAAACATACCTACTAATAATGCAGATTTTAATATTTTGAACAGAAAAAAAACAGGCATTAAATCAAATATTGGAGTGTCCAGTTGTCTGTGTGAAGAATACAGGTGGATTTTTATTTAAAAGTCTTAGTGCAGCTCTAACCTCGTTATACAGACGGACCTTTTCCTTGCTCTGTACAGACGTAGCATTGCAACTAGGGATGGGACGGGATATATGATATTATTGTGTACTGCAATAATAGAGAATATTGTGGTGAATTTATGTTATTAATTGTGAATACCCTCACATGGCTTGACTTGAAAAAGCCGTCTTGCTCACCAGCATACAGTCCTACATTAAGTTCCTGATTTATTTTGAACAAGGGGACAATGTGGAGCCCACGTCTGCCCAGTTATTCTAAAACCTGAAGCCTGTCACCACGGCTTACACGTTTTACGGATGTGTGTATGCGAATATAGATTTCAAAATAAAGAATAGGAAGATGAGGTTTCTATCTACGATGCAGGAAATGTATGCTTCCAGTATGTTTTAGAGGTTTAAGTATATTTTGTATCATTATTTTAGTCAAGAAAATCAAAAGTGACATGAAATGTTCATATTGTACAACGCCTAAGTGCAACACATTCAGTGAAAGACATCTACTAACAACACGTCATTTCACGGTTGGGTCTGACAGGTGTTTAAGAGAGTAATTCCCAAGTGGTTTTCCTATCCTCTTCCGGTATGACAGTCCAGTTAGGGGAAGGCTTTCCTGCAGCGAGCCAGTTGAAGTCATCCACCTGGCTCCAGTTGTTTCGGTTCTTGTCCAGGCCAGACAAAATGAAGTCCTCCTCCAGGGTGGGGGTACGACCAGGTGAACGGGGCGAAGCTCACTCCCTGACAGTCCTCTATGATGGCCCGGCTGGTGACGTGCAGATACACCTGTGTGTCTGTGGTGTTGTGGGTCCGCAGCTGCTGACAAGGGATGGCCAAGGTACTGTTTCTACAGTGGTCAATGAATACTGAACTAGTCACGGGCCCGCACAGGATCTCACAGGTGTCTATGTGTTTCAGGTGCAGGGTGCTGGGGGACCCGAGCAGACGGACCTTGCAGTTAGTCAGGTGGCTCAACAGCACGTCTCGTTTCTGGATCTCCTCAGCTGTCTTTATCAGATGCACATTGTCCATGTTGGAGAAGCTGCACTGCTCCGAGGCCGCAGCTCCATCGACCGTGGTGCTACCGGGCTCTGCAGGGGTGCCGGTGTCCGGTGGAGGTGTGTCTGACGCGGGCGCGGAGGCTTTATCCGTTGCTTTGGCCCGAGCCCGAAAGGCGAACTTCTTCTTGGGCAGAGCCTCCTCTCTGGTCTCAGCGAGGGAGGTCTGGAGTTTCTGGAGAGCCGCCTGGGCTCGCCTCAGGTCGTACTGCTTTAGGAACAAGACGCTGTCGTTCAGAAACTTCTGCAGCTGGAGGATTTTGGCCGTCGCCTCTTCCAGCGTTTGGGTCAGCACCGCCCGGTCCGCTCCGGAGCAGCCGGACAGCAGCTCCTCGATGGCCGCCCGCTCCGCGTTGAAGGTGCTGGAGAAGTAGTCGCCCTTTTCCTCCGCGACCGACTGGCTCTCTTTAGCTTCCTTCCTCCGCTCGACATCCTCTATCCTCGTCTGGTGTCGCTTCTGAAGTCGCTCCTGTATCTTGGAGGCGCCGTCAAACGCGGTTTCCAGGCTATCTTCAGTCGCAGCCTCCATGTTGTTGTTTGTCAGTTGTTGCGGAACTTTGTGGTTTATTCTGGAGCCGCAGTTGAAGGACGCACAGCGCCCCCTACCGTACCGGAGTGCACACGGCTGGAAATAATACACACACTGGTTATAAATAAAAAGCAAAAAAACAATAAAAACCCTAAAATATATATTTAAGTTCTAGTCACCCTAAGTTTAACCCACAATGTAAAACGTTTTCTTTAAAGTGTACCTGATAATTGTTTGCCTGTCTAAAATTATTTATTTATTTATTTATTTTTTACAATAAATGTAATCAAGAGTTCATGTACACACACATATAGTCAACTCTCTGTAAGAATCAATAAGAAATACAATTAAATGTAAAAAAATATATATATATAATTTAAGTTGTAGTTGTATGTATTTAAATAATTAAAATTGTTGTTGCCTGTACGGTTAAGTGGGCCTATTAAGCAACAGGGCATGTGTATAAATGTATATATAGCCAGGAAGTGGAATATATTGACAGGTGTTACAGGTAATAATAAGCATAATGGTAATTTATACATATTGCTCTGTTGAAGTGTGTTTTTAGTGTGTGGAAGCCAAGATTTGGAACAGCCTTTGAGCTGATGTCAGATATTTAGATATAAGTTTAGAGTAGAGTGTATGTAGTTAATATTTTATAATATGTACTATTTATATTTTGTTTATAGGATAAATATGACAAACTTCTATTTACTGTAACAGCATAGACAATGTAATCTTTGTTGGTATCATGATTTTAAATTAAATAAATAAATAAATGTATAGCATCTTTTTTGTGTTATGTGCTATTTATAGTTTTTTTAAAATATATATTTTCCTGGTTTAATGTTTATTTGGTGTGTTAAATGTGTTTCGGTTTATTGATTAAAACCAGATCTCCACAGATAAATTATCATTATATGCACAATATTTGTTAAAATCCTATTACTTTACTACACATTTTATATATAATTACATTATAAGTATAAATAATATTATTACATTTAAAGTTATATACAGTCTTTGTTGGTATTTCAAAGTAAGAAAGACACAAAGTGATATTCTATAATAAATAAAACATAATGTGAGTGCAATTTAAACCAAATCTTCCAACTACAACAACAAACTGAACACTGTATTAACTCAAACTTTTTGGATTATACAAACTCTGTGCACTGGCAGGTAACTAGGAAACACTTTCATACACAGCAGTCACACCTGAGCTACGTCAAGGTGTGGCACACACATCAAAGGCCCGCCCTCTACCGTTGGTAATGATTAAGTCTAATAACATTTATCTGTAATTCCTGAGGGCAGTGAAACATGCTATTATAATTCAAATGATATAAAAAATAATGTGTATAATAATAACTTGTAGTTTGTTTTTAGGCTTTATTGTCTATTCAGATTTTGACAGTCGTGTGCTTCCATTGTGGACTGATGATTTGGGCTGCCTTGTTCTGTGCACTACCCCAACAACCCGTGCGGTGATGGCGAGGAAACCCCGTTGACAAGGCACTGCTTTTTCATGACGGTGAGTTTCCCTTTGAGTGTATTATAATTTTGTGATAAAAATTTCAAGGAAAAAACACACACAACCTCCTTCCTCCCTTCCTTCAGGGAGGGAAGAGAGTTTGAGCGGAGAGAAAAATCTATCCGAGGCAGAACAGGGACAGTGAGAAAAATATATGAGTGGGAGAGGGAGAAGGAGGAGGAGGAGAAGGAGGGGGGGAGCAAATTAAAAGTTGCCAAATGGAGATATTGGGTTTCAAGAGGAGTGAGACAGGAGTAAAAGGGTTTGCCTCTTTTTTGAGTCGTCTTTATGTTTTGCTAATCGGGATTAAAATGTATGGCCGGGGCACGGTTCAGTCCCGTGGCATTTTCAACGAATTCCAACCGTCGTTTTTCAAAATAGGCGTCGTCGTCGACACCGCCGCGGCTAGCTAACCAGAACAGGCCGATGTTTTTGCCGTTAAAAAATGTCGCGGAGCGTGCCGTTACCGGGAGCTACCCGACCCAGGACACGGGTTGATACAGAATACCCCGATTGAATCGCGTCGGTTCGACATATCGAGACAAATGTGACGTTTTTTCATGCTGGCAGATGAGCCACATAGAGGACAAATGAAAGCCTCCCCAGCAGAGACAGAAAAGATCACGTCAGCGACGACCAGCCACGGGCTGGACGACGACGGGCGTTTTGTGCTGCTTGAATGCGATTATCATTCCGTCGATTCAGTCTATTTTTGGAAATAAAAACTCGCAAGCTGTACATTAGCTGGCTTTCTAGGGGGGGGAGGAAATAAACGCCACACCGAACTGGTGGTGGAGGAGGGGAGGGGAGGGGGGGGGGGGGACTAGCTTGGTTTGAGTCGAGGCATGCATGCTAGGGCGGATTTCGGAGGCTGAATTTGAGCTCGAAAATTATACAAAATGTTAAAGCGTTTCAGGGACGTTGGCTTTATTTTAATACGTTTGATAAAAATCGCTTTTATATCTTCTTCTGGTTCTGAGATACTAAACGTCCTCGGTTTTTGGGTCCACCATAGGCACTTGAGCTCTGTCTTGTTCTTCTTTTCCCTTTTTTTAAATGTAAAGTTAGTTAACGTTGGAATGTCCGTTGAATTATGGAATGCTCAACTGCCGATATTTAAACGTTGGATTTAACGGTCGCGTTTGATGATTCTGTTGGATTACTGAGTGATATTTTATTTATTTTACATATATAAACAGTCCACAACTGGATTTTTTTTGGTGTGAAATAAAATGGCACTGTGTTAATAGTTTGGTTTCCGTTTTTTTTTTTTGTTTGGAAAGGGTCGACATTTGCTTATAAATATTTTTGTAACACTTGTGTCCACTTTTTGAAGGACAAAGGAGCCTCACTGCATGTGGTATCCCCTTCTCACGAGAAAATTTAGTGTTTTCGGTACGGATATGTTACAAAAACAAATCACTAAATATCCTATGATTTAATTTGCTTTAGTAGTTTTTTGTGGTATTTTAAAAAAAGTCAGTTTTAAAACACCCAAGTTTGTACAGCAGTCCTGTCGTTCTTTGTTCTCCCTGGACCAAAGATGGAGGCTGAACGAGGCTTAGTTGTAAAGACAGCCCATGTCATGGTAACAGCCATTTTGTAGCATTGCAGTTGAAACATTTTACACAGCAACACAGCCTATGTTTACTCCATGACTTTAACACAGTACAAAATAACCACTAATTTAAACACCATTTTGTCCAAATGCTGGATTATAGTGACTAAAGGAATTTTGACACTCTCACACGTGTATATGTACGTATGCATAAGTACAACTATTACATTAAAATAGATAAAGTAACCTGTTAGATATCCAAACACTCATACCCCATTACTCTGCTGTATCAAATTAGTGCTGATGGGCTTGTTCCTGTTCCCCTTTTTTTTATTAATGGTGCACCAAGATAGCTGCATATTTGCTGTCTGGCTGGCTGACACAACATAAAGCCAACACCTCTTTGCAATGTAGAAACTCAAAACAGCCATTCAAGTTATAAGTGGAGCAAGGGTGGAGTTATTTACACTCAAATGCCCGTTTACACTGCAGACTGGAAAGACAACCAATGCGGGACAGCAGAGCAGGGTAATGGGTGGGAGTTTGGTGTGTCAGAGACAAACATCTGTTGGAGGGGATGAAGGCCATCCTGCCCTTTACTTACATACAGATCTGTCCCCCTTCTTCCTCTCCACTCCCCCATTTCACACACACACACACACACACACACACACCCATTGCTGTCATCTCCGCTACCCCCACTCTCAAGCACTCCCTCTATCTCACACTTATAATTTTGTAATCTTACTAAATGCAGTTTCTCACCCTACAGCCCAGAAAACAAAGGGTGTTAAATGACTGAATCCATGCTTCCAGCAGGAAATCTGTGAGTGAGATGTACTTACTACCAACATAACAATACATATTTTAAGTTTTATACAACTCAGTACACACCTACATCAGAATAAAACCAAAAGCACGGTTTATTGTCATGATAAATGAAGCTATTTGCCATTGACTTATACACATTTAAACACAAATGATCAAGTCTTTCCTCCATACTACACTGCTATGATCTTATCGCCTTATTTCGTTCTGTCCCTAAATCACTCCATAATCTTTCAGGTGTCATGGATGATGAGGACGATCGCCGTCTTCTGGATATTTTAGGGTAAAAACCTCCACACTGACATTTGTATTCACCAGGCAGTTCCACAATGTGGCCACACATATGTACAATTGTCTTTTTTTTTAAGTACGGTTAAGCAATATTACAAGGGTTCCTATTTGAAATCAAAGCCACGAGTGTAAACTTTGTCAAATTAGGGAAGTTAATAATCTTAACGGCCCCATTCACAAGAGATTTATTGTGAAACATCTACTTCATCACTTCTACTCTGGATGAGTTAAATTACACATTAGTGAAAATAAATATGTGTTACATTAGACCTGTTTTAAGGTTTGTTCTGTTCTCCTTTCAGAGATGTGGATGCGTTGAATGATTATCTCCATGGCAGCAACAGCAAGTCTGTGAGTGACTCTTTCAGTGTGTGTGTGTGTGTGTGTGAATAGATACTTCAACTTGTTGCATAAAGGAACTGAGTCCATTCACTCTTTGTTTTCAACCTTGTTTCTGCAGATTGAGGAGGATGATGTAACAAATGCAGCTTACGGGTCGGATGGATCCTTCTTTTCTAGTGACACGGTGAGTGTACTGTCAGGCTTTTAGGGGGATTTTGTCTCGAGAGAGAGGATCTGTTCAACACACTTAAAAGTCCAGTGTGTAACATTTAGGTCTACTTGGAGAAAATGGAGTATGATATTCATTTGTTTGTTGTCTTTAGTGTAAAGTCACCTGAATGTAGGACCTTAGAAACAGCAGTTTTTATCTACAGTAGCCCAGAAAGGACAAACCAAACACTGGCTATACATAGGGCCTTTCACATAATTTGCAAGTTCCTCATTCCCAGGTTGTCATATACAGACGCGTCTGAACCCGGGTCGTCCTAATCAGGGGAA